GTGCTGTCCAGTGTGACTTCATGCAGATGACATCCTGAGTCTGAGTCCATTATACCTGCCAAGTCTAGACACCACTATCGCTTGGAATGAAAGTCAGACCTACTCGTGCCCATATCCTGTGCCATTCATGCAGTTCTTGGACCTCACTGAGCAGAGGGCTGGTTTTTGTGTGATGTGCTAGTGTGTTTCTTTCTGCTGCCCTGTAATGGATGGCACATGCCAAACCCAGCTTGTGTGAGTCCAGTCCCCCATGCTGACTTGATCCTTTAGCTCACACAGGTAGATCCCCTTGATGAGTGGGACTGCAGTCCATTTATCCACATCGTGGGGTTTTCTCAAAGAGTTGTTTTAATAGCCATCTGACAGTGGGTTGGGGACACTTCTAGCCTGAACATACCGATGAAAATGCCATTTGAATCTTGTCATCCTTTCCAGAAGTAAACTGTGCTGAATGTCTCCTGAGAGAAAACCCTCAGCCTTAGATCTCGCTGCAGCCCTGATACGGCTGTTAAGCACATGGCAGCATCTTAAGTGCAGTTAAGTTCCTGAGGGTGCTGAGGAAAGGCACCGCAGCTGTGAAGAACATGAGATCCTCCTTGGAGACCCTTTCTAAGTGGCAGCAACACAGGGTGGAAAACTCTGCTTTGTGAGGTGGCCTTTTTTCCCTTGGGTATTATGGCTTTGATGTCTCTGATTGCATGACATGCACACTGGGGTCCCTTCTATGTTTTTGGTCTCATAAAGCCTGATAAAAGCAGTGGAGTAAATAGATTGCTTTCCCTTGGTCTGCCCCCATCTTCCCCCCACCAAATGCTGCTCTTCCATGCCTGCTACATTCACCTGAAGTTGTCTGGGGCAGTAGGTGTCATATTGAGTGCATTCTAGGTGGGCAAGGTGTGATTGCTATTAAAAAATCAACATTTGTCAACAGCGACCGCACAGTTGCACACAGGGGGGACATTTGTATCATTCACAGGTGTCTCTTGTGGAAAATGCTGTCTTTTTAATGGCAACCTCTGTACCTGGAAGGTCGGCAGCAGAGCAAGTGGTCTACCAGCTTATTATTTGAGAGCAAGAACTACATCCTTTCCATAGAGGGAAATTGTTGTGCAGATCAGATCACTGGGGCACAAGCACATTATAGACACATATTGTCTTTCTGCTTTTGGGCTTGTGGTCTTCGCTGGGACCTGTAACGGGGGAGAGTGGTGTGCTACAGTGTTGCTCAGAAAAGAGAATAGGCAGGAATTCTGCTCTTGGGTTGGATTTTTTTAATGATTGCAGGTCAGTGAGAAGAAAGAAGGATGCTTTCAGCTGCTGCGGACAGTATGGTGGATGCAGTAGTAGAATGGCCTGGGGGCTGAGCTCCCTGTTGTAGCACAGGGGACGTACTTTCCCCGCTCTTGCGAGAGGGCTCGCCTGGAAGCATGTGCTCATAGCAAAGAGCATGGGTGTCTCCATCAGGCCAGGAACACTTCTGAGGAAAGTGTAAAGGAAAATCAATGTGTATATCTAAAAGGCTCTCTCCCCAGAGCAGTGGAGTGCCAGCTGCTGGTGGCACTCGAGGCGTCCAGTCGACAGCAGGAGTTAATTTGTGCAAAAGCCCCCCTGGGTGCCACGATTAGGACAAGTTACATCACTGATGTTGGGGTAGGTCATTGGTAAATTCTGCCCCAAAGCACGCTGCTCCTGTATTATTCATGGGGCTTCATGCATTATCGATGGGCTGGGAAGGCTGCGTTCTATTACTTACCAATCTGCCCCTTAAGTGCTATGATGGCGGCACTCACCAGAAGCCTGATTTCACGGTGATTATTTTGAGCAGAGCAAAATTTTCCTTCTGCTTCTCACTTCCCTTCTCTACTCCACTCTGCCAAGTCCCAGGGTGTAACTCAGATTACCCAATGTGCTGTTAGCAAATACCATAATACTTAACCATGTGCTACCCCACAGCATCATGTGCCCTCTTCTTCCTGCCTCCACCTAACATCTAGTCATGCCAGCAGGAGTTCCCTCGGTGTCCAGGGGAGCACGGACTCTGAACTCACCACCATGCTGAAGTGATTCCCAGGCCTGTAGAGTCAGGGGAGTATGTTCCATTATACACCGAAGAAAACTATCTTCTCCCAAATCCCCAAGACCTTCACAATGTCTCCACACATCTATCCAATCTACCTCCACACCTTTCCCTGCTAGATGAATTAATTCTCAAGTAACCTGGAATCTAAAGTGTGTCAATTCTTTGGAGGGGAGAAGAACCAGGGTACTTGCATACCATGCTTGATCTAAGTTTAGCTAGATGTTTCTGCTCAAATGACTGGCTGACTCATTGAAGGGTGATGATGTTGAACGTGACATCGTTAGGTTTCACTTTCAATAGCACTTTGAGATAACGAGGGACAGTTTTCACCAGACATGGCAGCTCCTATTTCAGTCCTCCTAGCAGTTGTGACATTTGGAGGGTTACCTCTACATTCCCATTTAAGTCAGATGCATTCATTTTTTTAAAATGAAAGGTTAAGTTCTCCAGAAACACCAGTTACAGAAAGCAGAGTAGTGGTACAGCATGCCTGGCAGTACCAGCTTGGCCAGCCATTGATACTTAATGGTGCAAAGATGCAGATGCCATGCGTAGGAGTAATTAGACCACCGGAGAGCCCTGGCTGAGTCATTACCTCAGGGGTGAAAGGGGTCCTTCTATTTTCAGGTGGCTGAGCCTGGATTTTGCAGTAGCAGTTCCTGCGTGCTCAGATTGTAGAGGGAATCCTGCCACAGCTTGCCTGAGCTCCATGGGCCCTTTCCCACTTTTATCCATGCTAAATTTTTGCATTGCTCCTACACTTACCTTTGTCTCCCTTCTCTTGGCTAAGCAAGGCTGGGCTCTCATCCCCTCCTAGGCCCCATCCACTCATATCTCTGAGGGGTTCATGCAAGGCCTGAAAGATGCATCTACAGGCTGGATGAATGGACTGTAAGGTGAAGAGAAAACTGGGTGGAGCATTGGGCTCAGAGGGTAATAATCAATAGCTCAATGTCTAGTTGGCTGCTGGTATCAAGTGGAGTGCCCCAGGGATTGGTTTTGGAGCTGGTTTTGTTCAATGTCTTCATCAATGACCTGGAAGATGGCATAGCAGATGGCACCAAGCTGGGGGGAGTAGATACAGTGGAGGATAGGGCTAGGATTCAGAGTGACCTAGACAAATTGGAGGATTGGACCAAAAGAAATCTCATGAGGTTCAATAAGGGCAAGTGCAAAGTCCTGCACTTAGGAGGGAATAATCCCATGTACCTATACAGGCTGGGGGCTGACTGGCTGCGTAGCAGCTCTACAGAAAAGGCCCTGGGGGTTACAGTGGACAAGAAGCTGAGTACGACCCAGCAGTGTGCCCTTGATGCCCAGAAGGCTAAAGGCATACTGGGCTACATTGGTAGGAGTGCTGTCTTCAGGTCAAGGGAAGTGATTCTTCCCCTCTATTCAGCACTGGTGAGGCCACACCTGGAGTACTGTGTTGCGTTTTGGGCCCCCCACTACAGAAAAGATGTGGATACATTGGAGGGAATCCAGTGGAGGACAACAAAAAAGGTGAGGGGTCTGGGGGACAGGACTTGAGAGCCAGAGGGAACTGGGTTTATTTAGTCTGGAGAAGAGAAGACTGAGAGGGGATTTAATAGCAGCCTTCAACTACTCAAAGCGGATTTGAAAGAGGATGGAGCAAGACTGTTTTTAGTGGCGGTAGATGACAGAACAAGGAGCAATGGTCTCAAGTTGCAGCAAGAGAAGTTCAGGTTCAATATTAGGAAGAACATTCTCATTGTGGGGTAGTAAAGCACTGGAACAGGTTACCCAGAGAGGTTGTGGACTCTGCATCCTTGGAAGTTTTTAAGACGCAGCTAGACAAAGCTTTGGCTGGGATGATCTAGTTGGGGCTGATCCTGCTTTGAGCAGGGGGTTGGACTAGATGTGACCTCCTGATGTCCCTTCCAGCCCTAATTTTCTATGATTCTGTGTAAATGAAATAGTTAATAGGTTTGAAAATCCATAATAACAAACATTCCCTGTGTTTGAAACATGTAAGTGTGTATTAAATGCTGTCTATTAAAGGCAGAGTTCCCTTCTATCCCTCCCAACCAGGTCAGTGGGGTCCCAGCACAGCACTTCTTGATATGATTAATATGCACAATATGCTGTGTGTTAACTTGAGTCCTACATCGCTGGGAGCCTTAAGTTAAATACTGAGGCACAGTATTAAGGACGGGAGCTGTATGTTTTGTTCAGCACACCCAGATGGCTTGGGGATTTGCACTGAACTGACCAATCATTCCCTCAGAGGGTCCTGGCTCTAGAGGCCCTGCAGTCTTAAGGCACAAATTATAATTATATCTTTAGGGGGAAAAGTGGCTACATCTGTTCCTTTGAGAGAGGAGTTCCATGATATTCTAGGTCTCAGTGGGTCTGAGTATCAGGACAGCTGGGTAGTCTTAGTGATTATAAATACATTTATGCAGATGTTTAAAGTCTTGGAATCTTATGAATCCAGATGTTTGAATTTGTGTGCCTGTGTGTCTGTATGCTTGAGAGAGAGAGAGAGAGAGAGAGAGAGAGAGATTGCCTCCTTTTAGATAAAATCAGAAGTGCACACCTGTGACCTGAACCCCTATGCCTATCCCGTTTCATCTTTAGATCTCTCCAGGTGTGAGAATACTTCCAGCATTTTATTATGTTGTCTAATGTTGCATTTGAACCTTGGATCTCAAACCCAAAAATCCAGCGCAGTTACTAACTGCATCCCTAAAGTCCTGCCCCACTTCACCATCCCAGGACATCCATAATTTCTTCAGGCTCATGGAAACTCCTAGCAGGTGTACAAAAACAGTCCATAGTAAGGGTGACCCTCCCTTTTATCACTGGGCACTCAGCTTCTCTGTGGAGATCCTATATAACCAGTGATAACCCTGTTCATTCTACCCCACCCCTTGTCTTACATTCTCTTTGTCTGTAGGAGGCTAGAAAGAAACCCTTTTAACTGCAGCTGTGATATCCGCTGGATTCAGCTCTGGCAGGAGAAGGGTGAGGCAAACCTGCAGAACCAGGAGCTGTACTGCATGACCATGGATGCTGCCGTCATTCCCCTGCAGGAGATGAATATCACCCAGTGTGGTAAGGAACAGCCTGCACATACATACTTCAGCCTTGCCCCTATGGCATGCGGCAGGAAAGGCCAGCTGGCCCACCATGGAAAGGGAAGAGTGCTCCATGATGGGAACCATTCTCGAGAACAGAATAAAGAGCGTGGTTAACCTGCAGAAATGACTGATGCAGGATAGCAGGGCCAGTGGGAATAAGGTGTTTTTTTTAAATAAATTTGGATCACGGATGAATAGAAATAGCATCTTTCATTAGGCAGCCTTCCTCAGGGTTCAGGCATTGTCTAGATTTGGAAAGAAATTCCTCCAGTGGCATAACATTTTGCAGCAAAGAGCATTGTGACCAATTCCTTTGTTACTCTGAAGAATCAGCAATGGTCTGGTTTTGGAGACAGGGTGTGCTTCGTGTCTGTTTAGTGAACTCTGGAACCCATGCATCTTAGACGGGCACGCCTGACTTTTACTATTTTTCTTTCTCTTTTTTGCAAGTGCGCATTTAAAATAGTATATCCTGGAAGTTTAGAATGTATGTTCACTTGTTTGTGCACACATGTGTGTATAATACAATGATTCTCCAGCAGGGTGCCATGGCCTCATAGGGTGCACTGGTAGATGTGAAAACAGGATTCACAAGATAAACAGAGATTTCAAATAGGAATCCATAATATTAAAAGCTGTCTGACCTGCTATGGTCTTTCTGAGGTCTTTGCAACAGAAGAATTGCTTCTAGTATTTGTCTGTAGTCAAAAAAACATGTGAAAACTAATAAAAACTGGCATTTCCTGATGGGTGCCTCAAATCTGAAAAGGTTGAGAACCTCTTGTATAATATATAATATTATCTGCGCTCACAAATGTGTGTGTATGTTTGCGCGTGTGCACATATTCCTGTAAGTATTTTTCCTCTTTCTGTTGATATGGAGCAGAGTCTTTTGGATGAGATCAAGAGCAACACAAATCAGGTCTGCTCCTTCCCCCCACCCCACCCCGCTTTGTTTTTGTTTACGCACCTCTGCTCCCTTTTCTCAGTATTAGTTTCAGCTCTGCCACTGCTCTTACTGGCAAACGCCCCTTTGCAGCATCTGGGGAAGGGCAGCCACTATCAACAGAACAATTACATTGTCTATATGCAAAGAGCTGTCAAATGCACAGACTAGGAAGGAGGGGAAATGCATGGTGTGTATGTGCGTGTGTCACAGGGGTTAGATCCCTTTCTGTTCTAAGAATCTTAGGGTGTTTCTTGTAACAAATAATATACAAACCGGTTTCCAAGGGAAATATGGTTTTTCAAGTTTCTGATGTCCTTTTTATTCTAAGCCTCCTTTATTAAACCCTGGACGTTAGCCAAACAGCCTGCATGTAGGTGAACTGCAAAGATTTGAGAGACAGCTGTAATTTCCTCTACAAATGGGAAGAATAATCTTCAAAGATTAGAGGAAAAATCCTTACGGATCAAGGGTTGGGGAAGAGGTGACTTCATCTATTATTAGATTTGGGAGGACTGCAGGGTGTTGATTTATGTACACAAATCTCTTGGGTTTCTCATGTGACCTGCACTCCTCTAACAGGGGAAGAAGCTGAGATGCTTTCCTTCTGAAACTGCTCTTTGGTTCAGAGTTTTAGTGGCTCAGCACCACATGGACTTAAAAAAATTCTGGCCAGTTGATCTGTGTATTCTGTCCTGGGACCTTGGCATGGGTAGTGCAGGGCTGATGTGATGTAAACCATGGCAGGATATTCCACAGGTTTTCTTCCAGTGCCCCTGCCCCATTAGATTGATGTTCTTCATCACTAAACTAGTGCCTCTGGGGCTCCCTCTGGAGCTCTGCCAGTGCCTCTTAGTCCTAGCCCTACAGCATCCTTGCTTTTCCTTGCTGCTTCCCCAGAGTTGGGCACACACGTTGGGAAGTTCTGTTCAAGTTTTGCTTACCAGCCAACCCCTAATGCTCTTTGTCGCCTTGGACTGAAACAAGTAAGGAACCCGTAACACTGGATTTATTTGGCCAAAGTCTCCAGGGGAACCCCCCCTCCCCCAAATAGCAGCTATTGCATGAGTTAGTTGCTTTTTAGCCCCATCTCATTCATTCAGGGTCTTTCTTCTCCCCCCACTTGCACCCTATAATCCTCCCACTTGTCCGTTCCCCTTTTCATAACTGTTGGCAGTGTTGGTTGCTCGCTGTGTGCGTATCTGATGCCAGTGGCAACTCAGTGGGAAGGGGAGTAAATCAGAGCTGCTATAAATCAGTGAGTCTTTTTGGAGGGAAGAGCAAGGGCACCTTTTATGAGTAGAGATGCTGTTAATATGAGGACACATCCTTGGTCATCTTCCCTTGATTGTTATAAATTAGAGGAGAGCTCTCTCTTCACCTTCAGTGCTAGCAGCAGCATTCCCTGTTCTGGTTCATACTGGATCTCGTGGAACAATATCCTCCTCTCACCACTTTAACCTTCTTAGACTTTCCAGGGAGGAAGTGCAGGGAGCTTGTGGGAATGGGGACAAAGGATATAAGGGTTTGGCTGGTGAGAAAAACTTGGACAGGACTTCCCAACTGGTGTGTGATGTTCCAGTTGCAAAACACAGCGCAGATCCATCTCCCTGTCAAAGTTCCCATGGCACTACTTCTAAGCCTGAAAAGGCCAAGCTACCTGCCATCTCCTGCACTGGGTAGGAATACATTTTCCTTTCCTTTCCTCTCTATTCAGATGCTCAGGATAGCACAGGCTGTTTTTGTTGCAAGGTGAAGCCTATTTGGGAAATGAACCCCTGGGGTTCAAAATCTCCATGTCTTAATTGGCCATGGTGTGTGCTGGTCGCTACCCTAAGCACTTTGATGTTTGGCTCCCTTAGATCTCCCCGAGATCAGTGTCAGCCATGTTAATCTGACTGTGCGAGAAGGTGAGAATGCTGTGATCACCTGCAATGGCTCAGGCTCGCCGCTGCCGGACGTAGACTGGACTGTCGCAGACCTCCACTCCATCAACACCCACCAGGTAGGAGGTGAAGGGATTTGGGTGGCTGGATATTGATTGTTTTTGCCAATGAGCCTGTCACTCATGATTCAGAAGATGTGGTGTTGGTAGAGGGGACTTTCCAGGTCTTTGTTTCCCTGTTTGTTCCAAGTCCCTGGGTTTGATGGGTGCTGGGGTTACCAAGAAAGAGAGAGAAATGAAACAGTGACAGTGTCGTCTGGGTTGCACAGCCCGCACCTGAGTCAGAATAGCTGCCATAGGTGAGTATAGGGTTAAGGGAGTGAAAGAAGACATCGGGTGATGTCAGGAGAACAGTTCCTCTTAGGGGATTGTATCTTAACTTCTGTTTATACCAGCAACGTTACTTATTGCTGACAAGGCTGTGTCACCATTAAGTGCAGTGAAGAAGTGCTGAACATGGCTAGCTTAACCAAGGCAAATTGTTTCCCTTTGTTTCCAAAGCTGTGGTTATAACCTGCTTGGAGCATGTGCTGTGAGGCTCATCTTAATAGAGGAGTCAGGAGTCTTGGGTATTGAGGGGATGAGGTGGGTGGGGAAAAAGGCATTATTTGCTGTGTTTGTCTATACTGTCTCTCTTTGGGATTTTCAGACCAACCTAAACTGGACCAATGTTCATGCCATCAATCTAACTTTGGTAAATGTCACCAGCGAGGATAACGGGTTCCTTCTGACATGTATTGCTGAGAACGTGGTGGGAATGACCAATGCCAGCGTGTTGCTCACAGTCTATTGTAAGTAGAGGCAGGGAGACTGGCTTCGTAGAGGTCAGAGGGAGGGGGAGCATGGAAACTACTTGAATGTGTGTCATGTGGGGAACTGAACGTGTGCCACTGGGCTGTGATGTGTCCATCTTGAATTGCTGCCCCTCTGGCTGAGGAGTTGGGGTCAAGTGGTGTTGAGGAAGGGGCCAGTTCTTGCATGACGTGGAAAAATATTTTGCTGTCTGCCCACCTCCAGTATTACCTGTTTGCAGAAGTGGGCGTGCAGTAGGTGAGGCGTGCCAGTCCCATGTTTGCCTTGATAGAGCAGCTGCCCATTTTATGTGTCCATCTTGAATTGCTGCCCCTCTGGCTGAGGAGTTGGGGTCAAGTGGTGTTGAGGAAGGGGCCAGTTCTTGCATGACGTGGAAAAATATTTTGCTGTCTGCCCACCTCCAGTATTACCTGTTTGCAGAAGTGGGCGTGCAGTAGGTGAGGCGTGCCAGTCCCATGTTTGCCTTGATAGAGCAGCTGCCCATTTTCTTGCCTGAGTGGCCTGGCTACGTGAGCAGCTGAATGTTTTGCATCCTATCTAGCCCATGCAAATGACTGTTTGTGCTCACAGAGAAGGAATGTACCTGCTTTTTGCAGAAAACCCAGTTCATGAAGGAAAAGTCCAACTGGGGCTAAAACATTGTCTTGGTGCTTGCAAATTATTCACTTTGTTGACATCCTGGGGCCAAATCCCCAATCTTCCTGAAGTCCTGGAGTCCCACCATTGATTTTACTGGAGGTAGCATTTCACCCCAGATCTGTTCCAAGTTGATTTACCTGTAACCACTGCATGAACTCGTGTAGAACAAGGCTTAAGACCATTCATATGTAGACTGAAAACAGCTGAATGTTCATTGTGCTTCCTAATATAACTTACCACAAACCTGACCTTAACAGGAGGTTTACACAGCTTTGCTGTCTTGGGCACCGGGGATTTACCAGGTGTTGCTGTGCTCACATCACTTGTTCTTAGCCTATATTTTAGAAATCTTTCCCTGCCCCTACTCACCTATTGGTACTAGAGAATCACAGAATCATAGACACTGAGGGTTGGAAGGACCTCAGGAGGTCACATCTAGTCCAACGCCCTGCTCAAACCAGGGCCATCCCTAACTAGATCACCCCAGCTAAAGCTTTTTCTACCCAGGTCTTAAAACCCCCCAAGGATGGAGACTCTACCACCTCTCTGGGTAACTTGTTCCAGTGTTTCACTATCCTCCTAGTGAGAAAATTTCCCAAATATCTAACCTAAACTTTCCTTGCTGCAAATTGAGACTGTTGCTCCTTGTTCTGTCATCTGCCACCGCTGAGAACAGTCCAGCTCCATGCTCTTTCGAACCCTCCTTTGGATAGCTGAAGGCTGCTACTAAGTCTCCTTTCAGCGTTTTCTTTTCTAGACTAAATAAGCCCATTTTCCTCAGTCTTTCCTCATAAGTCATGTCTCCCATCCTCATAAGTATGTTCATTGCCCTCCACTGGACTCCCTCTAATTTGTCCATGTCCTTTCTGGAGTGTGGGGCCCAAAACTGGACACAGTAATCCAGATGTGGCCTCACCAGTGCTGAATAGAGGGGATGAATCACTTCCCTTCATCTACTAGGGGATCATGTCCTGTTCTAGCTAGTTGAAATGCGCAGTGTACTTCCCATGTCCCATGTAGTGTAGGGACTGCTGGACTCCTGTCGAGACGAGGCAGCCACAGAAAATGGGGTATTGGAAGGAGAATGACAAGGGCTGCTTCACTGCTCTGGTCTCTGGTGTTGAAGAGCCCAGGCACTCACATTTGCACCACTACAGCTCTGAGAAGCTTGTGTATGAGAACAGGTTACGTGCCCTTCTCTGAAGTCTTCTTGTTTTTACTCCATACCCTTTAAAGGTCATTTTTGCCCATTTTCCCAACTGTAATCCTGCAAGCCACTGACAGTTTCTCCCATGTCTGCTGTCTCTGTGAGGCCTCATCACTCACAGGCTGAAATGTCATTCTGAAAAGAGCTGGTATTTCTGGGTTTAGGTGGCCGGCTGCTCTGATACCATCTTAGTCATTTACCCAAAGAGACCTGTGCGGTCACATCCTGACTTAGGCTTACGGATGAAACAAGACTGATGGGACTTTCAGCATTGTGCCTGGAGTAACAGCACGTGCTCTTGGTCAGGATGGCAGGGCATCAGCAGGGCTGTGAAGGAAGACCCATGCCTGCCAGCTGTATACCATACACCCTTCAGCACTGTTTTTCCATTGTGTTTACAACATGAACAATTCACTAATGTTAGAAAAATGGAGAGGGACATAGATGGTGTGTTCTTGGTGAGGGAGTCTCCCAAGGGACTTGCAATGGTATGGTAGCCAGGAAAATGAGAAGGAATAGGAAAGGAGTGTTTTCACTCCCTTCATCTTATGGTACGGTGACCCGCACACAACAGTGCCATGCCACCTTGGCTCATGCTATCTAGCTTCAGGGTTTGGGGTCATACAGGTAAATGCTGCATTGGGTTTGCCTTAGGGCAGGCTGAATCTCTGGAGTGAGGGGCACTTTAGTTGAAGGGATAATGCATATCCATCCAATGCAGGGAACTCTCTGGTTTAATCTGTCCTGCTCACCTCCCTCTCTAATATCCCTGGAAACTCAGGCAATTAAAACTTCCCAGAGGGGTTCCACTAGTCACACCTCCCAAAGACATCCAGCTGCAAAGGAGCCTGGAGGGATATTGCCTGAATGACTGTGAATTCTTAAACTGTTGACTGTGGCCAGAGAGCCCCAGTCAGCCCCTGAGACATGTACTCAGTTATGCCTCACCTGCATGGCTTCCCTACAAGGGCCGGGCTGTTTCATTATGACTGAACGGGGTGGGGAGCATGGCAGCGGTGGCACAGAAGTTAAGGTATCTGCTCTGACAGTATGAATTCAGGCCCTGCTTTGGACTCCTGCCCATGGTTGCCCTCAGCTAACCTAGCTGGCAGTAGGTCCCTGGTCATTCAGACTGGGGAACTAAAGGCAACTTATTGTAATGCTGGCCACATCTCTCCATTGAGTGCTTTTGGGTACAGAAACTGGTGTCCCTAAGCCACAGTAGCCTGCCAGACCTTCCTGGCAAGGATCTGAGCTGAAGGCCTGATCTCAGAGCTTCTTTCTGAGAGCGGTGGAGCTGCAAGGTTTGGTGTGCTCCATCTGTGTAGGAGAGAAATGGCTCAGCACTGAACCTCAGGTGGATGTTCTTCATGACCCTGTTTAACCCTTTACAGTGGGGACAAGGCTGCTGTGAAGCACAGCCACTTTGGGGTTAAGCTGAAAGGTGTATCATAGGATGAGCCCTCCTTGCTTCATTGAAAAATCTTAGTGATCACCTTGTATGTGTTGCTCGGGGCAGGGAAAGGTAGGTTATTTTCTCTCTTGACTTGGGATTTTAGCTGTAGAAACTGGTGCTCTGCATCACTTGTTAGATGCCTGTTAACATGAATAAAAACAACGCTTAGGCATCTCTTATGTAGGGCCTTGGACATGAGTGCTGCAAAGCCTGCAAAGAGCGGCTCAGAGCTGCGACCAGGTCAGGTTAGTTTGACCAGTAGCAGAGGGAAAAGAGATGACTCTTCAGTAAGAGTAGCTCAGCTGCCCTCCTACCACCAAGGCCAGACTGAGCTCCTTTTGGGCTCCATTCCAGATCCCTTGGGAGCTTGCTCGGTGCTAGCAGCCTACCGAGGAGTCCAGCTTGAAGTGCAGCTGAGCTAGAACGTAGGTTATACACATTGCTCACTCAGTCATGGGAAAGAGGTGTTTGAATGTCTACTGTAAGCCTAGGTCCCACCTATTCCCATTGTGTTTCTCTCTGCTAGATCCCCCACGCATCCTGAGCTTGGAGGAGCCGGAGTTGCGTCTGGAGCACTGCATTGAGTTTGTGGTGCATGGAAACCCAGCCCCCAGCCTTTACTGGCTGCACAATGGCCAGCTCCTCAGGGAGACGGAGATCATCCGCATGGAGTTCTACCAGCAAGGGGAAGTGTCCGAGGGCTGCCTGCTCTTCAACAAACCTACTCACTACAATAATGGCAACTACACCATTGTGGCTACCAACAAGCTGGGCACCACCAACCAAACCATCAAAGGGCACTTCCTCGCCACGCCTTTTCCAGGTAAGGGAGTTCACAGCTTGCTGGCACTGCGCTCCAAGCTACACATAAGGGTAGCAACAACTCTTACTATAGTAGCTGTTTCACAGGTAGCTGTTCAATAGCAGGAAGCACCACTGCTTGACAGTTAGCTGAAAGTGAGGAAGGAAAGTCACATATCCAGCTGAAACTTCAGAGGAGTTTTGAGGGGCAGGTTGTAAGAGCTAATATACCAGCGGATGCAAAAAGGTTCCCTGGTATCACAGCCTTAGTTTCGTGTCTCACTGAAAGAGGGCAGTTTGAATGATGCAACGGCATGCTGGGATGCTTGGGTCTGATCAGGCATGTATGGAGTAGGTCTGACTTAGCTTGTGAGATCTCCCCAACATTGTGCGATTGTAGGGAACCCTTTGCTTCCTTGGCATCCAGTGGGGGAAAAAATTAAAGGGAAAAAGGGGTTAAAATTTGACTGAAAATAAAATGAGCAGTTGCTGAATATGAGTAAAAAAAAATCTGTGTTTCTGATTATTCTAATGCCTCTCAATGAGAGAAGGACACAGGCTATGCAGCTTATCTTGAGTCACCTCCTGAAGCCCCATGTTCCTCTAGTATTGGCCATTGTTTTAGCATATACGTTGCATACTAGTTGTGCAAGGCAGAGAAAAAACTAACTCTAAAGGGACTTGCATCCTCCTGTTAACTTTTGACCTTCATTTGTCCCCTCTCTTCTGTAAAATGGGCCCAGCCCAGATGGACTGTCACCAGAAATCTACAGATTTTATTGAAATAAAAAGTGAGCATCCCTCACTCTTGGCATGAGAGACCCCACAAACCAGCAGAGATCCCAGTTATCCTGCATCATCTTTTTGCTAGGCATTCTCTATACATAATTTGAAATTCTTTGCCATATTCCTAAGGGATATGGGGGTAAATTGTCGAAGCAAATTCAAGGTGGGGCAGCTCTTACTACAGGGAGTGTGGTGGAGAAGTTTGTAATGGCCGACCAGGAGGAAAGGAGTGAGAGATTGTACCCTGCCTTCTGGTTTTACATCACAGACTAAGGCACCACAGAGTTAACAGAGCTTTGCATGCTGTTGCCCTCAGGAGTACTGCCGTGAGAAAGTGACGGCCCCAAATTGGCTCCTGCAGCCCTAAAAAACCCAGCAAAATAGGGCGCTTACTAAATATAGAGCAATATCAATGGTATTCTCATTTATTATTTATATCACACCATAAATGTACACAGAGCTTTCCCACAGGTCAGAAATAGCAAATGAAAACCTAAATCCCTGCCTTGAAGAGCTGACAATTGAAAGGCATGAACAGATACAGATGGGAGTGGAAAAATTATACTCAAGCTTCAAGGGCGCTAATCTGTCTAGTGATCTAATCTGTTTATGCTTTCTGCTCTATGGGAGGAAGGACACTCATATTTCTGTCATGGAGATAGGGGTTCTGCCTCTTACCTCTAGGCTTGACGATTACCTAGCTGGGGTCATTTGAGCCCAGTTTTTCTCCTGCTCAGGGCAGGTGTCGGACTAGAAGATCTACAAGGTCCCTTCCGACCCTACATCTATGAATCTATTTCTCTTCTCTTGGACCCTGTCTATAAAATGGGGGTAATTTTGTTCCTAATATATTGACAAAGTGCTAGATGGAGTCATTGTCCAAAATCACAGGATGTGGGTCTACTGTCCCAAAGAGCCATTCATCCAAACCCTAACATGGGCTTGAGAGGAGAGGACAATATAAAGTGTTTTGAAAACCTTATCTGGAAGGTTTTCAACATTTTTTTTTCTACCTGCATCTTCAAACCTCTCCATCATTCTTACTTTCCTTGATCCTGTGTCCCAGAACCTTTTCCATCATGTCAGTTCCTCATGATGTATTTCAGTACATAATTTACCAGTCTTGAAGTTCATTGCTCCATACGTTGCCAAGGTCGACGTTAACGTCCAATGCATCTGAAGTTTATAATTTCATATTTGAGGGCAGATTCTTCCAGAACATGTCATAAAAGCTAAAGCATGGAAGAATGCGCCTTCGTTTGGGAGGTTTTTGTCTCAGCCAGCCAGGAGTGGAATTTCTTAACATGAAAGTTTAGAGCCTCTGGGGGGCGGGGGTGGGAATATACAACTCATCTTGTGGTTAAAAGCCATTTCTCGCAACCCGACTTAACCAAATTCCAGTTACATTTCAGATCATTGGGATCACATGCCTATAGCTGGACACAATTTGGGGGTTAAAATGGTTAAAATTCAGGTTCACGTGGACTGAATCATGTACTGAATTCTTTTCAAATTTGTCAGATCATTTTGTCTAGGAAAAAAAAACCTGGGAAATGATATTTTATTTAAAAATTCTATGCAGTTTACATATCCTCCCCTTCCCCCCCCCAAACCACACCCAAATTAGGGTGTTTTTTTTCATTTTGTTGGAAAAAAACTCTTTTTTTGTTTGTTTTGCCTTGACCTGAGGAGCCCCCGCCCCCCAGTTTGGATAGCAACCCAGGCACTCAGTCACTCTCACAGCTCTGCCTGCAACCTGGGCTTGTGTTGTGCTTCCCTTCAAGACTTCGGCTCTGTCTGAATGGGAGATCTGCAGCATCATTCCAGGAATCTTTCACCAGCAAAGCTGTGTAAACTCAGTTAATATCAAGTTCAGTTTTGTGCACTGGCGAGTAAATTGAAAGCCGACATTGTTCTCACGCTATGTAAACTGAGTGTCGTTGGGAGCTTTAGACCTTATCATCCACGGCCCTGGCAGGCTGTTGAGTGGAAGGAGCTTTATTGAATACACTGAACGAGTCGAGTTGCTGATGTGGATGACTGACATGGCTGGCTGGCATCAGGCATAATTCAGGTAGAGGACAACCTCACACCTTCCCATGACAGTCTTCCTTGATCCCATTTTTCCCAGTCCTTGTGCTATCATGGCGGTGCCAGTCCAACTCTCTCCTTAACTATGTTGTCCATCTCCTGTTCGCGGTAGTCACAGGACTTGCTTCTCTGCTCTGTCAATGCACCTGAGTCCAAGCCCTTTCCTCCCGTCCCATCCACTATTGCAGGCTAAGGCCCCCTCCCAGCTGTGCCAGTGCAGCTTCATCCTTAGCCGCATTGCCCCTTGCTAACTTTACCTCCTGCTTAGTTTATTACAAATTTCCCTTCAGTTTCCATAAAAAGTCCTAAACACCCAGAATTATTTTTTTGTTCATTTTGTTGGAAAAGCCTGAGCATTTTTGGTTCACCTCAACCTGAAAAATACACACATTTATCTGAATTCGGAGGTTCTTTGAGCAGCACTTGCAAACAGGATGTGTTGTGGGGTATTTTATTCTCTCTCCACATCCCTCTGAATTCTCCCCCGACCCTCTCCAGCACTGTATGGTGGATCGGACTCCTTGGTGCTTCAGAAAAATCACTGATTGATTGTTCTTCCTACCAGGCTCTTCCCTGTGAAGTCACCGAGAGGGTGTTAGCTAGTGGCTGGCTTGCTCTCAGGCATACACACGGGCTTGTGAGGAGGGAACATGCCTGAGAAGTGTTTTGCGTGGGAGATTTGCTCTCCCCCTATCATGCTGTTAATTGTGTTGCTTCTCTCTTTGTCCTTTTCACAGAAAGTACGGATAACTTTGTCTCAAGTAAGTGCCTTCCTGTCCTTTGCTTTGTCGCTTGCGTTTCCTCCTGAATTCCAAGGAACTTGGAGATGACATAGCAGGGATAACATCAGCCTTGTTGGATGGGTTATCCCAGATGCCCTAGTAAGAGCTAGCTAGGGTCTCTGCAAGATGCAGGCTTCTCTATGGGATCTCAAGTGCATGGGGGAAGGGTCTCGTGTGCTGCATGATTGGTACAGCTGGTGTGTGTCTGTACACGACTGGAGGGGGTGTTTTGAAGAAGGGTCTGCGCCAATAGAGGGGGAGGTAGGTGTGCTATTACCATAGTGACTTGCTAACAGGCCAGGAAGGTGCTTGATCAGTGTGTCTTTAAGCCATCATTGATCCAGTTGTAGTTTGGGGTGCTGCAGGACATTGGAGCAGGTGTGGCATTGGCTGAAAGAGTAAAGGAAAAGCAGCCTTGGTGAAGCCCCGTGTTTGCTGCCGTTGAATAACATATGGAGTGATGGGTCTCAGACGTGTTCCTAACAGAGCAGGTGCCCACAGTGCCTTGAGCACTGATTTCAGCACCTTGCTAGCAGTCTGAGCAGAGAGTACAGCAGTGATTTGGTTCTTGTTATTTGACTTCAGGTCAGGCGTGTGTGTGTGTGTGTGTGCGTGCGCGTAGGGTAGGCTGAACTCCTTTGGCCTGGGCTGTACCTGTTTTGTGGTTGGGAGACTTTGGTCTCCTGGGTTTTTCGGTGCCAGCATTTTAAATTCCTTTAATTTCAGAAAGGACCCTTCAAAGTTACTGTTTCTTTGTTTTTAATTTTGCAGGATCTGGTCTTGCAGCAATTTGCATTTCAGGGGTACTTGAGCTGTTAGCTTGTCCTGAGTGCTGGGAGGCACGTGGGTGGAACAAGGATCCTCATCTCTCAATGTTTGGGATTTGGCTGTTTCTCATTGGCTCTGCTGAAGTGGCACTGTCTGATTAGTAACCAGGGGCTGTGTGTTTGATGCAGGGTTATGTAGGAGTTTAGGAGAGATCTGTTAGCTCATCTGCAGGCAGAATTATAGCCCCCCTGAGACTTGAATTCAGGACCTTTGAAATAGAAGGAGGGTGACTTCAAGCCCTAGTCTAAGCCGTTCTTGCTGTGTGTAGAGCACACGAGGCTGGGAGGTTCTGGTGCCCGTCATGTTCCAGAGATGCAAACTGAACATTTTCTCTTTCCTCTTTTGGTTCCAGTTGGTACCTATGAAGTGAGCCCCACCCCACCTATCACTGTGACCCACAAACCAGAGGAGGATACTTTTGGGGTGAGTGTTATCTGCTTTTCTGTAGGGGAATCCTTTGGTATGGATGTCTCACTCCCTTGATGTTGTGCTGTTTTCACAGCCATTGCTACTGTAGTGAGATATTTGTAAGTAAAAATTTCTCCCTTGATAATCCTGACTAGTCAGACATCACAAGGTAGGGTAGATAGGATTGGATAGGCAGGGATATTGGTGTGAGCCATGTGCACCTCCTGATTGTAAAAAATATGGCTGCAAATGCATTGAAATCAGGTCTCCCATTAGCGGTTTCCAGCAGAAATCCTCTGAGAGCAGTGGGGGAAAATAATGAAAAAAACCCAGGTAATTGAGTTGTTTCATATCATAGTAGAACATTTAAGTTCATCCTGTGCTGGGGCTCAGGTTCAGCATGTTTCATTTTCTCCATCTCTTTTGCTCCATTCAGTGATAGCTCACAAGGGCTTGATGAAATTAGCCAACTGCCCCCCAAAAATACACCCTCCCTCCAAAAAAACCCCAAACAAGGCAGGGTTTGCAAAGCCTCAAAATGTCATATTTCACAGACTCCAGATATAGAAAAAAATGCTGTGTACAATATTGTGGGAAAAGAATAGCATTTCATAGAGCTGCCTTAATTTGGGGAGAATTTGGAATCTTAAACACCAGCCAATATTGACAAATTCCAGTTTGGTCTGAAATTTCACCCAGCTCTAATTCTCAGCAGTCTGGAAAGAGCTGCTGATGCTGGGATTTGATTGTTTAATAAGAGTGAGAAAGAGAGTGAGAAAGAGGTCAGGGAAGCAGACCCTACGATGACAGGCTGAGAGCCCTGGGGCTCTTTAGCCTGAAAAAGCGCAGGCTCAGGGGTGATCTGATGGCCACCTATAAGTTTATCAGGGGTGACCACCAGCATCTGGGGGAACGTTTGTTCACCAGAGCGCCCCAAGGGATGACGAGGTCGAATGGTCACAAACTACTTCAAGATCGTTTCAGGCTGGACATAAGGAAGAATTTCTTTACTGTCCGAGCCCCTAAGGACTGGAACAGCCTGCCACCGGAGGTGGTTCAAGCGCCTTCATTGAACACCTTCAAGATGAAACTGGATGCTTATCTTGCTGGGATCCTATGACCCTAGCTGACTTCCTGCCCTTTGGGCGGGGGGCTGGACTCGATGATCTTCCAAGGTCCCTTCCAGCCCTAATGTCTATGAAATCTATGAAATCTATGAAATGTAGAAAATACACAGGGGAATGCACGTGGTAAAAGTTAACATTTGGTAAAAAAATATAACATTTAAAAATCAAAATTGCAAGTGTATCCAAGGCTGGAAAAAACAGGAAAATGTCACTGAGCCATGAAAAGGTGAATATTTTTGTGTTAAATGGCATGTTTCTTTGTAAGGGTGTGTGTGGCTGTAAGAGGTAGGCTAGGACCTGGACTAGTTGAACCACTGGGCAAATGAAAGTGAAAGGGAGTCCTAAAAGTTTTTTGTTTAGAGTGATACAATGAAAGTGTCATATGTAAAGATTTGCAGAAATAAATATTTGCTGGAGCTTTGGATGAATTAATACATATTGAACTTTTCAAGCCAGGGAGGTTTTCTTTTCTGTATTTGACCTTATATAAATTTCTGTATAAGGTCTTTGGGCACTATCGTAACATAAAGACTTATTCCTACTGCTGCTAACATGACTACTAATAAATAACCAAGGTGCTGCTAGGGTCTTCAAGAAAACCGAACACTTGGAAACAGTTCTACCTCCTTTCCTCTCTTCTCTTTCTTGTGTTTTCTCTTCCCTCATTCTTTCTTCTGAGGGGTGTTTGGATGGAAACAGGATTGCTATTTCTAAAGAATTCCTCTGTTCCTATCGCTTGTACTTCATCTCAGGTTAGTATCCCCTTGCGGTTGTGGCATCCCAAGCTTGTTAAGATGTCACAAGTAGAGGGTTGTGACTTGTGTGTGGTGAAGGAAAAAGCAGAGCACGAAACAATACTAAGGAGCAGAGGCCTTTTTCCATGCAGGTGTACTTCACGAGAAGCATGGCAGATGTGATATGGGAGGAGAATTGTGGTCGATGCCGTTTCAAAGTTGCACTGAAGCCATTTACGTTGTAGTGTGCTTGTCTTCACTGCAAGCATCCATATTGCATAGGCAGTGGAAAAGTACAGAAGGGGGACGCGAGCTGGGAGACTTCTATTTTCCACAGTTCAACTGGTTTTGACACCACATGTTCCATGGGCCTGACTATCTGCTTTGTCCCTTGCAGGTCTCCATAGCAGTCGGGCTTGCAGCTTTTGCTTGTGTCCTCTTGGTGGTCCTCTTTATTATGATCAACAAGTATGGCCGACGGTCCAAGTTTGGGATGAAAGGTACGTGCGGTTGCGTGTCTCCAGAAGGAGGCACCGTCAAGGAATGCTGGGGTCTCTGCTGCGTTCTGAAAGGTTTTGAGCTGTATTTCTGCAGGAGGCTGTATCTGTACCAATCAATGCCAACGCCAGAGTCCTTTCAAAGGGGAAAGTTGCTGGTACCTCTTGTATTTGTTGCCTGTATCTAGACAGCAGCAAAGATTGCTTTTTTATTTATTAATTGGTTAGTTTGAGCTGTTCCTGCCTCTTGGGACATTGGTGTGTGTGTTTGTGTGTGTGAATGATTTTAATGGTTTTTCTTTCAGTGGGTACAAGCACACTAATCCGTTGCTTTGAAAGGGGTTTAGGTCCTGTGGACTGCCCCTGCATAATGACTGTTACATGGAGAAGAGCAAATGCCTGCATGAAGCTTTTCTTGTGGGCCTGACAATAAATGGTGTTCAGCTGCACAGGGGCGAGAGGGGGTGAGTGCACTGGAAGGGGGAGTCGAAAAGTCACGTAATCCCCTCATTTGTGTGTTGGTCAACGACTGACAGAAAGGAAGCGGTAGATTCTGCGCCTCTTGGTCTAGGGAGGAAAGATGCTGGGCGGCTGGAAGGTATTTGCTGAGAGCAACACCTGGAGCAAATTGCAGCAGGTTGCACGGGTTTTTCTGCTGCTTCCCTGATAAAATGTTTTGCTTGCTGCCTCTTCTGCTTCATGTCCATCCTCTTGGGAACCATCTCAAGCCAGCTTGGTAGTACTTAGCCAATAAGAAGACAATGATTGCCATATGGTGCCATTCTCTCAGTTCTCCCCAACAGCATGGTTGGTTCTCTGTACGATCATGGAGCTCATGCCAAGAGAAGCTGAATCACTAAGTGCTGTCTGTTTCTCATGACTCCTTTTGGTGCTTGTCTCCAGTCTCAGAGTGGCAGTGGTGCCCAGCAAAGGCTGCTGGGACAGCTTTCATGTAACAGTGGTTGCCAACCTCCATGATTGTTAATAGATACAGGCACTGGACAGCCAGACATCTGGTCTCTGGTTGACACGAGCCTTTTTAAAGACAGCTGAATGGCAGCTGGTTTCTCAGCACTGCTGGGGCCTGCGTTCTAGGAACAGGTTGACAGGTTTGGGGGCATTGCTTGTGCTTGCCCAGAGTTGTGTTTGCTTTGCAAAGACATTTCTGAGTGGGTCCAGATGGGATTCTGGCGAGTTTCCCTTGTGCATCCTATGGAGATGGAAGACGGGACTTTAATTAAATAGCAAATCTACTACACTAACTTAGCAATATTTAGTCCATATGTCCATTGATGGGAACCATCTGGTAGGTTGTCCAGACTAGTGGGTGGAGCAGGGGAATGGAAGTCATGATTCCTGGGATCTATTCCCAGCTCTTCCACTGACTCACTTAGCGTCTGTAGGCAAGTAGCTACCTTAACCTCTCTCTCTGCTTGAGTTTCCCCATCTGTGCAATCTGGATGGAGTTTACTTACCTCCTACTGGGGTTTGTAAGTGAGTTCTGATGACAGGGTTTACAAGTGCAAAATGTTAATAGGTAAAGGAAAAATGAGGAAATCCTCCTCCCTCCCACCCCAAGCATGAGAAATGAGGGGAGAGGAATGTATTAGACACGTAGGTGACCTCTTGGGTGGATGCACACATGTTAAGGGATCCAGGCAACCCTACGTGTCACTCTCTTGGGTTCCCCACAAGCTGCCATGTACCATGGAAATCCTCCACTCCAACTTATATACTACCTAGATGGTACAAACTTGTAACAAGAAAGCCTGGATTTTCGTGTCTTACACTGCTGTGCCACCTTACCGGTACTCTGATGGTAAATCATAGATATCAGTGTCCCACTGAGGACTTAATTTTTTAGAAATTATTGGCAAAGTTTTATCAGTAAAGTGGCTGGCGACTGACTCTGCTTTGATTAAATGGGTTTGGAAGATATGTAGGTTCCTGAATTGTGAACGTGATCCCAGTTCATTGATTTATCCCCTCACAAGCCTCCGAGGCACCACACTGGGTGATACCTATGAAATGCTGGCTGCTAGTTGAGTGTAGGCATAGATGCCACATGGAGTCGGTAGGGCAGTGCCAGAGAGTTTGGTGCAGGAGTGAAGAAGAGTGTTTTTACATACACATTCCCACTGAGCAGAACTTTCCATTGATACAGTGATTCCTGCAGTTTTCTTGGGGGCTTCTGTGGTACCACTTTACTGCCACAATGAAAGGGTGTTTGATTGTTCTCACTAAAAGCTCCACCCTTGTATCTCTTCCTCATCCCCACTATTCAGCTCTGTGCCCAGGTCTCCTGGTTCCATTTTTTTTGCTTTCTTCTCTTCATGTTATTCCTAGTGACTTTATCTGTTTGTACAGCTATAGTTATCACCTCTTTGCTGATGACTCTCACATCTACTTGACCCGCTCTCCTAAAATGCTAGGCTGTGCCTAGGTTGTATCCTGCTTTGATTACTGCAACCACCTTCCCTGTTCTCTCCTCCCTGATAATGCATCTCTCTCCTTCTCTCCATCTGATGCTCCTCACTGCTTAAATGCATTTCTTTCCCATCAGTCAGAGCCCATCACCCCCACTTCCCTCTAGGGCTCCCATCTTGCCCTTACAGCCTCTCAGACACTGCATACAACTCAAATGGCATGACTTGGGTGAGGGTAGCATGCACGAGTTGTTTTCCCACTGTATTCTTCTCTGCCACTCTCTGCGAAGGAGGCCGTCTTCATTGTGTTGTCCCAGCTTTGCCTTCTTCCAGGATGTCCCCTGCTTGGGGAGGGTGGCTGTCTCCCACTGTGCTAAGTCACCTCTCTTTCTTCATTCACATCTCTCCTCAGATCTTTCCCATGAGCTCTTGACCTGTGCCCAAGACCATCCTCACTGCAGTGTCACCCTACACTCGAAGACTTATCGAAAACCAAAGAAACCATCAAACAACCCCAAATCCCCTTGGAGCTTGCTGCCTGCCCTGGATGATTTGCAGTTGAGTTCTCAGGCAGGAGCTGTGTCCTGTGTAGCATTGGGCATATTGTGGGTGATTCAGAATAATATAAACATAATTGAAAGGCCTGTTTTGGGGGGCCAGGGATCAGCCCCTGAATCAGAAGTTCTTTGCAGCCAGTTGATGCGTTGCCACTTGCTGTTGAAATCCCAGCTTGGCAGGATTGAAAGAGCAGGTTTTTCCTGTTGTTTTTGTCATGGTCACAGAACATTGTGTGCTCACGTTGGATGCATTGCCCAGAGCGCCGTGTAAGCCTCTGTAAATTTGTCTCTTCCTCCTCCTCTGCTGTGCTACTCCCATGAGAGTTTTAATGTATAAAGACTGTGAGGTGGAGGGGCACTTCGGGGAATGAAGAGGAGTGGGGAGAGGAGGATGTGCCAGACTGCTTGTGCTCTGAGGCTGTGCAGCCAGGAATGATGCATTTCCCTGACCCTGGCCTGGCTGACCCTGACTTTGTGCATGGGGCCAGAGACTGCATTAAAGGCTGTTTAACGTGGGCTTCTGGTTTATGGAACGATGCTGTCTCTCCAGATATCCTTGTTAATCCTCAGCAACCACCTCAGAAAGAGCAGAGTGGGCTGACAAGACCTGGGGAGGGCTTGCATAGGCAGTGGGGATGTGTGTGGCTGCAGCTTGGGAACATGGGTTTTGTGCCCTGGCTTTTCTTTGTTCTGTTGGGCCTGTGTTGTGCGGCCTAAGTGTTTAAGTGACAGCTGAGGGAGGGCTCCAGAAGGAGCCAGCTTGGCCCCAAGAGAGATGCCAGTGTCTTGCCTTGCTCTGTCCTGGTCCCCCTGGCTGCAGAAGTGGCAGTGACAGGCTGCAGCCTGAGCAGCCTCCTTTGCTGAAGAGACCGTCACCACGACACAGAGTCATTGAGTGTGCGTGTCTTGAGGGTCTCGGAGACGGTGCTGCTTCTGTGCCCAGGTTCATCTCCCTTGCCTCCTCCTTGCTGACTGTCAGAGCTGAAGCGGTTGCAGCCCTTTCTTCTTCCAGGTCTCTGCAGCAGTGTCCTGGCAGAGCCACGGCTTGGGTTACGGCCCGGCTATTGATCTACCCAGCAAAAAAGCTGTACAGTGCTTGTTCTGCCAGCTGAACAGTAGCAGAGCTGATGGGGAGGAAGTTGCAGAGGGCCCCGGTGAAGTGGGTTATAACGCACTGCGTTCCTTGTTCTTCACCATTGTTCTGGTGAGCGTGTGGAATTTGGCTGTGTGCCATCCTCATTGACTTTCTCCACTAGCTCCGGAGGGGGCACCTCATTAATATTGGATGGCGAATGCTGTCCTGCCTTGCAGGGCCTCCTTGTAGATTTGCTTCGTGCAAACAGTAGAGAAAAATGTGGCTCGGTAGCCTGTTGGTGACTGATGGAGCAGTAGAATGTAAAAACCTGGAGTCGAGGGAGATGAAGTGGAAATGGAAAACAAAGGGCCCTTTGTGAAATGTAGGGTTAGCCGCAGAAAATGAAGCGAGAACTTTCAGGCAATGGCAACACGCAAGCAATGAGGATCCAAGTCAAAGGCACAGTTTGCATGAACTTGCCCCAGTCTGATGTGGACCTTTTTTTATGCATAGGTGAGTGATTCTGCGACTGAAAGTTATCTAGTGGTTAAAACAAGGGAGTCCTGGCTCCTGGTTTTTACCCCTTTGCTTTTGGGAGTCGGAGTTAGAGGTTAGTGTGGGCAACCTAAATGTAAGAAATCCTTGGCTCTGTTCTCAGGTCTTCCAGTGACTTGCTTTGTAAGCTTGAATCAGCTCCTTTGCTTCTCCGTACCACTGTTTCTACTTAGATGCTGACAATTTACACTCCATCTTGATATCACAACTTTATGGGAAATCTAGAAATCCCAGTCTTGCCATCAAAGTGTAATCATAATGTGGAGAGAAAGTTCATAAACTAATAATTAAGCTGTACAACAGTTAAGGCACCTAACAAGGTATATTCAGGTGCTAATGAAGACCCTAAGGGTAAGAGGATCCAGCTGATATAGTATGCTTTGATTTTTT